AACTTAACCTGCTAGATAACAAGAGTTTACTGAGACAGTATTAAATATATACAGATTCAACTTCACTTAAATAATTCTCTAAACTCTATACCTGCCAAATGCTATAGTTATATTTTTGTGAGCAAGAATAAAAGGAGCAATTTGCTATTGTAGTCTGTGTGTGTATAAACTAGAAATGGTTAAGGTTTCATTCTGAGTTATAAAATGGTACTCTAATAATTGCATTTTTTAAAAAAACAAATTTCATTTTTAAAAATACAGGTGATCAGAAATAAAGGAGAGTACAGTTTAAAATTATTTCAAGATTAGGCTAAATAGACAAATAACCTAGGAACTGAATCACACTCTTGTTACACACACGTACAGACATACCGCATGCCAAAATTTCAGGTAGACTATTAAACTATGTTTGGTTCAACCAGAAATGTGAAAAACAGGAAAGTAATTGAACTTGTTTTATCAAGAAAATCTTACTTAGCCTCCGCAACTGGAATCCATGTGACAATGAAGAAGGAAAGGGACGTGAATTCAAACAGCTGACACAATAATCAGCAGCAACTGACAGCATCTCTTCTGATATTTGATATCAAGCACTAGATCAATATTTGTGAGATCAATGCAATGTTACTGGTTTTTTCAAACCTGTATGAAAGCCAAATTGTGACACTCTGTGATAGGGTTATTCTTAGAGGTGGTTACTCCAGAGGATGATATTAAGTAATTTACTGATGCAAAGCAAAAGCAAAAATGGGGAGTGAGGAGGGGAGGAACCAAAAACACCACCACAACAAACCATCAATATTTCTTCAGTTGATAAATCCTGATTATCCAAGTACGTAGAAAAGGTGTGAACATTTATTGGAAAAAAGCCATTTATTTAATTATGGATAAAAAATTAAAATAAACCTTTGAAAAATTATTTGGAGGTACATGAAGATGAACTGGATCAGAGGCACCTTTTTCAGACACAATGGGATTTGGTGGCATGTGAACAAAAATAAATGAAAAGGATAAAAAGAGAAAACCTAGGCCTTATTGCTACAGGGTCAATCCCCTCATGTGTGGAATTCAGTGGGAAATAACAAATTTTTCTCCATCTTTGGCAGAGTGGAAAACTGAGAGCCCTATCTGACACTCTAAGCAATGTTCCCACAGAGGTCAAATAAAGAGAAAATAATAAACAGGTCTAAATATTGTGTATTATTTTCCTTAGAAGGATTTATACCATGCAAAAAATAAAATGTATTTAATTTAAGTCAGAGACACATAGTTCCTAACCCTAACCTTATATTTTGACTCATTTGCTTACAAATTCCATTTTGATAAAAATGCTAAACTTGGATTTATTTGTTTTTACAGATTCAATTTTGAGGAATTTTCACCTAGAGGAATCCAAGATCTTCAGTCAAAACAGCAATTTCTGGGGAGGTAGATGATGGGGGGAGGGGTAGCAGAGGGGTTATAACTTGCTGAACATTTCAGTAAGAACAGTAATCAACATGAGATGTGGTGGTCCTGGGTAGTGTTCCATGGCAAGGAGAGGTTTACATTTTTTAGGTTCAAGAGCAGGTAAATGTCTTTCGTTTGGAATTCAACTGTAGTTAAAAAATTGGGAGACCTGGTTTCTTTTTCACTTGAAAGAATAAGAACATTTTAGGAAATTTCTGATGCCTGACCTAAAGTCCTCTCATCTTTCTTCAGATAGAGAATAAAATACTTCAAAACTATGCAATTCTTTAAGGGAAAAATTTTTCCCTTAAATGTTTCTTTTTTCCTGATGTTTTTGTTGATGACAGTAAACTGCCTGATAAGAAACTGACAGATCACTTCAAATAAAAGGCACTGTATTACATGCTCTGAAATGAAATTCATATCTAAGGCCTTTTGCAGAATTAAATCATGCACCTAGTATATTCCTTAATAATCTAGGTAAAGGTATATTTTCCAGGATTTTAATAACTCCATAAAAAGTCTCTCTCTGCATGTGTCTTTATCCCTTATAGTATTTCAAATTTGGCAGACTGCCTACAAAGTAAAGATACCAACAGTTTAAATAAAATTTTTCTTCAATGAAGCCAACCTTACACACAAATGCACATTACATACAGATAATTTACAGGTTCAATGAACTTGAAGCATTGAAATATTTATTCCAATGCCTTGCAGATTTGAAGATGAAAAATTTATTTAACAGAAGTTTGGTAACCAACATATACAGAACATCTACTATATTATAGGCATTGAAAAGACATAGACATATTGTATATGTTGTCTGTGTATTTCAGGTGAAACGGACAGGAATGGGCACATGTATTTCATGGATGAATACGTGTGTATGAGACATTTATATATATTTTCAATTAGGTAGCTCTTTCTTTTTTAAAATCTTGAGTTATTCTAAAGAAGAAAATAAACTTTATACTCACTTGTAGTTAATCGAGCTTCATTTTGGCTAATCATAATTTGACCAGTGATTTTTTTCCTCAGGGCATGAAGGACAGTGCTTAGAATTTAAAAGTTTAGTGCACCCAAAATGCTGCTCTTCTTAAGCCACTTTGAAGTAATGCTAGTGAGTCTACGATCCAGATCTACATGTTAATCTCTAGTTTTGCCTTCAAACAGAATTCAGTTACAAAGAACTTGGAAAGATTTTGAATCTATTCAGGAGAGAAAAACCTTTAATTTTCTGAGGAGTAAAAACTCCCCAAGAAACTTCATATAGCTTCTTAGATTTTGCTTAGCATACGTGATAAAACATTGATTGTTGCAGTTTGGTGACCCATGAAATTTGGGGGTTAGTTTTCTCTTCAGACCAGAGCATATAATTATGCAAATAAAGAGCTGTCACTGATCTAGTGAAATACTCACAAACACATGCACTCTGAAATTGGACAGAAAAGTGAAAATGGTTGGTGATGTGAGGGTGCCATGGTTTGTTTTCCTGCCAAGTTTCTATCCAAATTCATTATTCAAATTGTAAACTTTAAAAAGAGACATAGCATTCTTGGGGTGTTGGTTGTCTTTTCATTTCAGATTCTTTGTATTGGTATTGCAGGCTGACCACAAAGTGCACTTCAACATTATTTTACCTGTGACAGTTCTCCATATTACCCGAGGTAATAGCCAAGGAAGAGAAAGATGAATGAGCTAAAAGGAAAGGTGCAGGACTTCTCTAGATTTCTTTCTAGAAACATGTTTTATGTCTGTTTCAAACAGAACTCAACTCCAACAATACAAAGGATATAGTGAAAGGTTTTTCACAAATCTCAAGGCGAAGGACTGGGAAAAGTTGCTTAGAAGGCCTCAGGGACTAAGTCAAACTTCCACTTTCAAGCTTTTTATATTCCAGGGGAAAATACTGGTCACTGTGTGGTATCCACTTCATGGTCAAACTTTCAGGATGACTTTCTCCTATTTAGCAATTAAAGCCAACTATTTAACATTTGGTGATTTTAACCTTTGCAGTTCGTTTTACAGTTATTACTTCTCTAAAACCTTTGTGCTGGGAATTAACAAAGTTCTTCAATCTAATCATGCTCTTTGGAATCAAGGTCTCCCAATTTTAAAGTTACCATTGCACAGGCTGTTGCATAATTTTAGATGTCATGGAGAGTCCCACTGATGAAATCTGAGAAGGCTCATGTCAGACCACTGACTGCTAAAGACATCACTACATGAAAGATCAGTGGTGTGAAACTTTAAAAACATCGATCCAAATGAATCAATTAAATCAACATTCATCCCTCCTAAGTGTGTGGTTTAAAACTATCATTGTTGCTTTTTTTTTTTTTTTTTTTAAAAAAAAAACCTTACATAGATTTTGAGATAAATGCTGGAATGCTTTGATGGCTACTTCTATTCTCGAATCTCCGTTAATCGACTTTGTGCTATTTCCCTCTTTTCAACATCTTCCACTTGGTGTACATTCTTTACTCTTAGTACAGTGCATGACAGTTGCAATGCTTTAAATCTAAAACCGCCTAACAAAGCTGACGCTTTAGGTAGGGTAGCTTTAAGCTCTGTGAAGTGTTGATTAAAAACCCTTTCCCAGACTCAAACTGATCTTTTTGGAGATTAATAGAATATTAGATAAAAGGAAGACGAACAATTCAAGAGACTCCCACTCAGTCATTCTATACAAGGAAGGAAGGAAAGTATTCAATTTTTGAAAGGGAGTACCTCCTGGAGTCTTTTATTTTATATTATTACAGCCACTAATAAGTAATAATAAAATAACCACTACCATCATCCCCCTTTTTGCCACCCATATTTCAAAGATGAGAGTGTCTCACATTTATTTAAAGACTTTTTTTTTCTCCACAGAGGCATGTGGAAAGTTTTTGAGAAATTTTTACTTTCTGTAGTAGTACTCTTTCTTAAACGAATTAGGATTACAGACACCAACAGGAACCTGTCAGTTTACAGTAAAAAATATGATTATAACAAGATACACACATGTGTTTGGATTGGAACCGCAGATACTCCAGAGAAACAAACAAAATCTAACTTATTAGCACGGATAATATAGTTAACATATCTCTAAAAGGGGCTAAAGGTTTTAAGAAAGCTGTAAAAGAAATGTAAGTTATTTTCAGATCGAACACAGTACATCAAGAACCTATATACACAAACTTGGAGGCAACTTAATCTCACCAGACTCCTCTTGGAAAACACATTTATTTATGGCATATTCAAGTTTATTTTATAAACAACAGTTTAATGATAGGTTGTTCAGATTTCCTTGCTAAGGAGATATTTTAGATATTAAAAACAACTGTCTTATAAATGTTAGCTTTGTAAAAGGTGCAAGCCAAATAGTGACTCAACTGAAGTTAGAATATTACCTTACAGCAATACTAACAGAAATAAAAAGTAGCCATAAGGTTTAAAATATTGATGGATGCTGTCTCATCCTTCCTTTTATGTTTTTGCTTTAAAAAATCTCTATGCAATTGGTGAATAAGCAAGAATTCTTCTGAGCAAGAATAATAACACCGCTGTTGTTGGGAAAATTGTTTTTATTTTAAAATGGAAATGGAAATATACAAGAAAAGCTTGTGCTTTCCTTTTTATTCTTTGAATAACCAATAATGCAATCCAGGTCAAAGCAAAAGGCAGAAAAGAACAGTTATTACAAGTACATGGTCTTCTTTTCAAATATCCATGAAAATGTTTAACGACTGGATGGCTAGGTACCTACAGAAAGCTCTAAAGCAATAATCTGGCCTTTAAGTTTCGACAGGACTATTTTGAATCTTAATCAGTCACTCCTTTCCCATTCTACTTGTTCTAAGAATTAAGTATATAATTAAAATAAAAAGTCCACATCCTGACTTTAAATCTCCACTCTCCTAAAAACCTGTTTGAGGAAACAAAAATGGGGAAAAGAAGATCAGAGCAAAGATATTGTTAACACTTGCGGCACTCATGCAGGTGGGCTACTACCAACTGCTGGTTGTCACTCCAGGAAAATCGAGGTGAACATTATTACATTTATATCAACAAACCCATAATCAACAGGTTAAAAATCCTGCATTACAAAGGATATGATCACTTATCAGTTGGTGGTCTGGAAGTTTGCCTAGCTCCCTCTGGGCTGCTACAGCTCAGATTCACAAGTAGAAATTACATTTACACAACTTAAGTTTGCAAATAGCTCTCTATAGATAGTTAAACAAGGCCTAACCATCCAGTAGTTTTAAAGTATTAGAGGCAATTAAACAGTGATTTATTCTAGTTATAAGTAAAGGTTTAAAAAGAGGAGAGATGATTTAAGAGAAGGAATAGGAGTGATGTGGTTTATAAACTGAGCATATTTATTTTGCTCTAATTCAGGTGCAGAAGCTTCACAGATTTAGCATTGCAGAAGTGTTGGTTTTTTATAAATGCTATAAAATTGTTTCCTGTCAACATTTTCATATACTGAAAACACGACACAATTTATAATACCTTGAAAAATATATTCAATTCACATCTATTCTTGAATCTCTCACTGGAAGATACCATTATTTTACACAGTTCACCAGTACTTCTAAAGTAGTAAAGATTGGATAAAAAGGGTCAATATCACAGATAAATGTGCTTGACTTTGTTGGGGTTTACTCATTTTAAGCCATCTAGTAGCTGAATAAAATGCCATTTTGATTTTTCCTCCCATATAGTTGATTTTGCTTAAGTAACACCAAAATATATGCATACCTGACCACTGAAGAAAGATCACTTTAATTTGTCATCATTAAAACTATAGAACTAATGAATGTACTTGTATGTCAAACACAGCAATGAGATATTAACAGCTTTAAAACTTGTTGAAATCGGTTCATAATATAAAAACATTTAAGCACGAAGTGGTTGATTTTAAGTTACTTTTCTGAGGCATTAGACAGTTCTAAGTCATTTTGGGTACATTTTCTCATGTCCTGAAATAAGGCAGGCATATTAATTGTTGCATACACTTTAAAAAAGGATGAAAACTATTAAATTCATGTTCTCATCTATTAGAAACAATCTTTACTAGGTAATTAAACTTGTCAAGTAATTAAAAAATAATGTGAAAATTTAAGATTTTAATCTAAAAGTCAGCAAAACCTTAATATCTCCTGTATTTCACAGTGTTGGCCGCATCTTAGCTGGATTAAAACACTTAATTGTTCAAACTGTAGGGCTAAACCCTACAGAGGAAGCAGAGTGCTAAAAATTATACCATTGGACTGAGAGAAGAAATTCTTTCACACCAAGTCCTTCTCTTATTGTTAAAGCAGAAAACTAAAAGGATAATTTTAGCCCCACTTAGCCTTTCAGAAGAAAAAGGCTGCAGAGCACATAGGTTTAGTTTCCTGATGACAATAAAAAAATTCTCTCCCTAGAAGTGCCTAACTCCAAGAAAGCTCAGAATACATCATTCTGGAAAGGGTTAACAACAACACTCTTTCTCCACAGAGAGATTTAAAAAGCAAAACTTAAGTGTGTTATATCTAAATTACAATGCCACTCAGTACACATTATATATTTAAAAAGTAAAGTCAATTCCAGTGATAACAGTTGGAAATTTCATTGAAAATGGGACCTTTTACACCTACACTTAAAAGAGCTGCCCATCATTGTTTTGGTTTTAACAGTCTCTTCTGAAATCAGAGACTTGTGTAAACTCTCACAAACAGCTGGCAAAAAGATTTTCAGCAGTAATGCGGATTCAGTACTTATAGATTTTTATGCAAAGTTTTCCCTTTTTTTTTTTTTCTGGTCCCGAAATGAAAACAGGGAGAGAACAATTTGCACTCCCAAGCTACATGGCACTGTTCTGAATTTGAAATTGGCTTGGAGCATGTGTGTGGAACTTCCTAAAAAAAAAAAAAAAAAAAAAAAAGAGGTGGGTAATAAGATGTCCTCAGGGAAAAACCTAGTTAAAATGGAAATTTGAAGTCGGGAATAAAAGTTTGTTCCAGTTGAGAGCGGGGAAAGGCGACATGATTAAGGAGGTGGAAGCAGCAGCGGCTGCGCTGCAGCGGGCGCTAGGACCATGCCGACGCCGCCCGCCCTGCAGCACCCGCGCGGGCTCGGTCAGGGCAATTAGAGCCGCGCCAGCCACGCCAGGCAGGGCGCTGTCAGCCTTAATCTGAGCGCTGACGGGCAGCGCTCAGCCCGCAGGAAGCACGACCAGTGAACCCATATTGCTTTGACAGTTGCACTCATCTAGAAATAATGCAAAACGCTATTTAGATGTACATATCACGACCCTGTGCTCTGGGAAGAAAACAATCTAATGAGGGGCTGGGAGTCTGCTCGACGACGCAAGCAGTGAGGAGGGTGCCGGTGCGTGCGCCAGGGTGGCCTCCCCAGTTGCGCTCGCTCCTCTTACAGCTCTTCGTGCTTGATGCGGTGCGAGCGGCGTGTCACAGCCGGCTTCAGGGAGCTGATCTTGGCTTCTGAGGCTTCGGTAAAGAATTTGAAAATAGACGGGAAGCTCTTCCAGGAAGTTAGCTCGTGACGGTCGGTGCCTGCAAAGAACCACACATTCGGTTACCAGGTTGCCCCGCGGTGCCGGGCGCGGCGAGGGCGGCGAGGGCCAGGCCTAGCTCCGGCTCGCTACCACCCCGCCCAGTCCCTCCCGCGGGCCCCAGCCGCCCGCGCCCCGCCCCTCCCGCCGGCGCCCTGCCTCTCAGTCAGGGCCCCGCCTCTCAGCCAGGGCCCCGCCTCTCAGCCAGGGCCCCGCCCCCTCGGGGGCGCGCGGCGCCGCCTCTCTGGGCACACCTGGGGCTGCGGGGTCACTTGCCCCCCCGGCTCAGAGGAACTCAGACTTAGCTATCCGCGGCGTCGGGGCGCCTACGGCCTAAGTCTCCATCCCTCTCCTGACGCGGGGACGCGGCCCGCATCTGTCCCGGGGTCGCTCGAGGCGCTGCTGGACGCCCGAGGCCTCCGCCTCTCCGAGCCAATGGAAGCATTGGGCGGGAAGGGCCACTCCCTCTCCCTCCGGGAAACCACTCACCTCCCCGAGACTCGGCGCGCGCGAGGATTGGTTTTCCCTGCGCGCGGGATCGACTGCCATCCACCCCACAGCGCCTGTTTTCCTGCCTCCTAAGGGGGTTGGGGGCGGGGTGGGGAAGGATTTTTCTTGCTTCTCCCGGAAGCTGTGCTGTTAGACGCGATTACCTCAGCTAGGTCACTGGGACCAAATCATACGGGACACTTAATGAAGGACCACATTCAAAAGGGATTATGCCTTGAAGTGTCCTGGCGGGCGACATTTTTACAGATTTTAAGGGGCAAATTTAGAACAGCTAAAAAAAAGGTTTCAAAGCAGTGACTACTAAAAGAGCATCTAGGCCTCCCATTTTGTCAGGAGGAATTCAACTTAGAAAATGCAGGTTAGTTGTCAATTTATGGGGTTATTTTATTTTACTACAGCTTCTCTCTGTGGTTTCGATGTAAAACTAATGTACAGCATGTTTTCAAATAAAATCGACCTTCAGTTTAACACAGGCAGCAGATAACACGGATGCAGGCATAAGAACAGATGAGGAAATACATTTATCTATTTTTGACTCCCTGTGATGGCTTATGTAGCATTTTACAAGTGGCTTCATAAATGAGCACTTTTTAAAATTAAAAATTAATTACAAAGACTTCCACAGAAGAATAGCTTTTAAACAGTTGAAATCTCTTCCTAGATCACGCAATTATGCAGAGAGATACCGCTTGGAAGTCTCCGGATTCAGGGCCTCAGTCTGATACTTTAACATTGTTAATGATAATTCTTTAGTCTGTAATAGTAGGTCATTGCTATGGTTACTCTACAATGGTGCAACACTTTGCTTTCCCCTTCAGCTATTCGCTGAGACCTGGTAACCACATTTGTTGCCTAGCAACAGTTTTGTGACAGTATCACAATCTAGGAGTTACAACAATAAGGATGCTATGGCTGCTGTCGGCCAGAGAGCAGAAAGCTACAGTCTGTGCCTGACTTAGCTGTGGGAGCTGGCCCTACTAAAGAACCCCTCTCTCTTTATCCGTGCCCTCCCAAGGATTCTCTCTCTCCTCCTTTCCTCTGCAGATGGGCCTCATGAACCTGAATTTGAAACTAAGACCCAGTATTAAAGTCATATCCGCCAAAGCTACTGTATTCAGACTAAAAATGAGGTCATTTCTGTATTTGCTTACTCATTTTGGGCAAAATTCATTGTTACTCAATAGGAAGGTGGGATTGTCTCTATAGTATTTGCAACCCTAGTTTCACTTCAGTAATAACTACACAGTTGCACTCATAATGATAAGACATTTTACAATCAATTGTAATTCCTTTTGAAAGACCATTCTCAGATGCATACTACATGGCAACACCCACCCCCAAATACAATAAGCCAAAAAAAAAAAAAAAAAAAGGTGTTAATTGTCTCTTTTCCTTCCCATTTCCCAAGCTTCCAGCCACATTTGGCATTTCCTCCATAGTGATCACACTTACACCTACTAGTGTTACTAAGGCTAGGATCAATTTGTAAGCTTTCTCAGGGAATTCCCCTCATAATTCCTCCCACCCCTTGAAACCAATTCAATCTATGAATCTAGAGGGACCTAAGGAGTCAACGGTCTGAAGCAATTTTAACTCCTTTATTTCTTCTTTACTAGTGACAATCCTTCTGAAGGATGAACAGATTTCCCTGGTGATAAAATCACTACAAAAGCTTTTTAGTTTTAGCTTTTGATGACTCTCTGCTTGATTAGTCCTAGACTGAAAAGACCAGAGTCCCTGAGATAACTGAATACTTGTACTGGCTCTCAACATTTACTCTTGTAATTTAAAAGTATAAATAATGAGAATGTGTGCTTCTATCAGAGGAAGGGAAATTGCTAGGAGTAAAGGTAATAAGGTAGGTTAGCAACTGAATTACAGAGAATTGGGTGGAAGGGAGAGAATTCTCCCTAAACTAAGGAATGATAACATGAATATGTAATATAAAAATGTGTTTTCTAGGAACACTTTTACACTGTTGGTGGGATTGTAAACTAGTTCAACCATTATGGAAAACAGTATGGCGATTCCTCAAGGATCTAGAACTAGAAGTACCATATGACTGAGCCATCCCATTACTGGGTATATACCCAAAGGATTATAAATCATGCTGCTATAAAGACACATGCACACGTATGGTTATTGCGGCACTATTCACAATAGCAAAGACTTGGAATCAACCCAAATGTCCATCAGTGACAGACTGGATTAAGAAAATGTGGCACATATACACCATGGAATACTATGCAGCAATAAAAAGGGATGAGTTTGTGTCCTTTGTAGGGACATGGATGCAGCTGGAAACCATTATTCTCAGCAAACTTTCGCAAGAACAGAAAACCAAACACCGCATGCTCTCACTCATAGGTGGGAACTGAACAATGAGATCACTTGGACTCAGGAAAGGGAACATCACACACCGGGGCCTATTATGGGGAGGGGGTGGGGGGAGGGATGGCATTGGGAGTTATACCTGATGTAAATGACGAGTTGATGGGTGCTGACCAGTTGATGGGTGCAGCACACCAACATGGCACAAGTATACATATGTAACAAACCTGCCCGTTATGCACATGTACCCTAGAACTTAAAGTATAATAATAATAAAAAAAAGAATGTATTGAAGGAAATCTTAAAATAGCAAAAAAAAAAAAAAAAAAAAAATGTGTTTTCTAAATTTTTGGAAGTAGATTTTTAATGATATTTAAAATATCATTTGGAGGTTGAATAATTGCATGTCTATCTGGGACTGCATATATACATTTCAAGAATATGTTTGGAGACCATTTTCAAAAATTTAGTTCTGAAGTTCAGTGAAAATATTTACAGGTGAATATGAAACTCTATCCATGACAGTGTTCAATGAATGGAAACTTTTGAGAGCAGGTTTCTAGTACTTAAAAAATACATCACTTTAGGGGACATTAAGTGGGGTGTCTTTTATTCCATCAGTACAGAAACACTAGACTATTATTTGTTCATAAAAGGATATAAAAGGTGGAAGTTTAGGTCAATCAAAAAAGCAGTCATTTATTAATAAAATGCAATGATGTAGAAGTCACAGGGAGACTACTTTATTTAGCACTAGCCTTGTTATTTGAAGGAGATAAACATGGTTTTATGGTCAAGGTCTAGTCTTTTCACTACCACCACTTTATTCTTATCAAGTCTCCAGTTTTCAAACCCATATTTTCATAATTTAGACAGGTTCACAAAATATAAGGAGTAAAAGGTTTTTCCACATTAAATATCTCCCAAGTTCTCAAGGAATGATTTTGGTATCATTTTGTAGTGACAGGCTTGGTCTAACTGGATAATTCACCTATGGAGTGAATTCAGTTTCCTAGTCTATAATATCAATTCAGTATAAAAGTAAAATGTAAAGGATCACAGCGCTTCATTACAAAAAAATACCTTTGCTCAGTTTCAATCAGTGGTTCTTAATGGAGATGACAATGGCCTCTGGAGGCATTTTGGAAATTTGCAGGGATATTTTTGGTGGTCAAGACGATTGGAAGGTGTAATTGGCATTTATTGGGAGAAGGTCAGGGATAGTGGATATCCTGTAATTTGCAAGGCAGTATAGAATTGTTCTGCATCCCACATGATTTTCAAATGTTCAGCAGCTATTCATGTAGTTGAAAACCTGTTTATAATTATATGGATTAGAATTTAAATATGTTTTACAGATAATCTTAAAATACTTTTTGCATGATTTTAATATATACTGAATTTTCCAAGAATACCACTACCATGTAAATTGAAAGGGTTGTGCATTTTGTTTCTCAGAGTCTTGCCAAGAGTGGTTTACCCTATGAAAAAAATATCACAACTGATGGCACCATGCCCATGGTACTGGAGTTGCCAATAAGCATACCTGTATCAGCCTGCACTTCAGCTGTCAAATTCATGATGATTCCATGAATAGGACCAAGTATCTGACTACTTTATTATGTCTTCTCATATAGATTTGCCTGAGCACTTTAAATATTGAAATCCATATTATTTTTATTATGAATTACTTTTATTCCTTCTATATGTTAACTAGAGCATTACAAAGATTTAATAATCTTATAAGTAGGTAGATTATATTATCTATTGAATTTATTTCAGGACAGTAAAAGCACTGCATAATATTTCTTATAATAGGAGGTAATCAAAGGTCAGCTTAAATAAAAATGAATGGTTAATTCTTTCTTACTATATTAGAGATTAATTCTTCCAATAATCTGAACCCTACTCTAGCTATCCCTTTTATCCTTGTACAGAGCAGAAAATACCTATTTTTCATTTTTCTTATATTTCTTCCACAAATGCCATTTGTCAATGATGTTATTCATTGTGAAATGACTAAAAGGCCAGGGATCTTCCAATGAAAATACTACCCTGAATATCCTTGACTTATCACTTGTTTTAAAAAATGAACTGTAGCAAATTTTAAACGAGTAAAAATAGCAAGTGGTGAAAAGGATTAAAAACTTTAAGAATCAA